ACATCTGCACTGCAGCCCACATAAGCCCCCATGCTGCTACATGTGAATATGGCCTGAGAGTGTTGCAGCCCACGGAGTGCCCCAACAGGAGCAGGCTCTAGGCAAGAACTGTGATGCATGGAGAGAAGTCCATGCAGGAGCAGTTTCATTCTGCAGCACATAAAGAGGACCCACACTGAAGCAGGGGAAAAGTGGGAGAAAGAAGGAGCAGCAAAGAGGAGCTGGTGTGAACTAAGATCCCTCTCTCCTTATCCCATCTAAACTTTTCAGGGTGAAATGAGGAAGTAGAACACTTTAAAATAGAGGAGTGAAGATGAGACTGAGAAGAAGTGGAGTGTGGATTTATGTTTTCTTTCTGTTTCTCACTGGTCTATTTGTAGTTGAACGTAAATTATTATTTTACCAATGTCAAGTCTGATTTGTTACAGTAAATGGTAAGTGATCTCTCTGTCCTTACCAATCTAGGAGTTTTGTCATCTTCTCTTCTTTCCTTGTCATGTAGGAGGAGGGAGAGTGAGAGAATGGCAGAGTGGTCATTACAAGGTCAGCAACTAAGATGATTCAAATAACCAGTTTAAAAATAATATTTATGTGTGTATATGTATTTCCCTAGGCATACTTGGATCTTCTTTCTTTACTTTTTTATCCTGAATTTTTTTCTTTTTTACCCTGGATTTTTTCATCCTTGCCTATGTGGCTATAGAGTTTCAAGAAAATACACTTCAAAACTTTCTCTGATTGTCTAACACTTTAGGTACAAAATAAGCACTATATATCTTGGTAGTTATAGCCTATAACTTTTGCATATCAATTATGGAGTGTGTATATTGGAACTTCCTTATCTACTACAGTTTTCATTGCTTTTTCATTTATGGAATTCCCTCAAAAACAAGTAATAGTAAAAATATATGCACTATATGAATCAATTTCAATACACATAATTCCCTTTGACATTTGCATATTTTTGAAATTATGAAATGAATGTACATAATGGAAAATTGATCTTTCCTCTCTGATAAACATAGAATAGTAATATGTGCAGTAATAGCAATTATGGTTAGTAATAGACATTGCTTCTTACTTTTTTTTGCTTTTTGTTTATTTGCTATGATGGATGAGACATGATTGACAGATGTGCTTCTCCCACGCTCAATTAAGATGGCTCATCCTGTCAAAAAATAAGTAAAAAGTGTTTTGAGTCTTTACACAGGAGAATATTCACTTTGTTGTTGTTTTGGCTTGTATCTGGTAGAAAGCTGGGATCAGACTGTGTCCTGGATTTGTTTTATTTTATCTGGTTTTACTGATCTTTTATCTCTATTTTCATAAAAGACAGAAACAAGTGTAAATCAGGAAAATCAGCTAATTTTCCATATTAAAAGCACCACAGTTTATGCACATGCAGAGGCTATTTCAGCAAATAAATATTTACTCATCACGACCAGCCAGATTGCACAAAAGACATGGTTATAGTCAGCATTGGTGGATGTACAAAGACCCTCAGATAAGGTAGATGCTTTTCATGTCTCTCTGAGACTTTTTCACACTCCTGGGTATTTTTACCTATTGCTACCTAGTTTAAAAAGCATTTGGTAAAGTAAGTAATTTCTTGAAATAAGCTAAACTAAGATTAACTTCACAAAAAAAAAAAAAAAAAAGTGGTTTATGCACAAGATGAAGGTAGGTAAATCTAAGAGTAGGAAGAAAGAGAGATAACCACATTATTCTGTAAAACACAATATCTGTAATTACAGCCTCATAGGACAATTTCAGTGTGTGTAATACTTCAGAGACATGTGGCCATGACATAGGAAGTTTATTTTAAGTCAGAGTGACTGAATTAGAGAGTCTTTTAAATAGAAAGTAATAGGGAAAATAGATCATATAGATTGGTGAAACAAAAAAATGGGTAAGACCTACAAGAATGTTGAAGAGGAGTTTCACCCCCAAAGTGCTAAGCTCTCTGAGGGCATTCAACTGACAGGCATTTTTATAATCTATGACATGAGAAAATCCTATTAACTGATATCCTAGTAGGATGTTGCATCACAGACACTCTAGCAACAGAGTTAATCCTAAACCCCAGGAATATTAAATTATTATATTCAGTTTCAGGAAAATAAACTTTGCAATAGTGAGGCCCACAAGCATATTAACAGCTATTAAACAAACAATGTTAAAAGCCCAGATAAAATGCATGCTATAGCTGAAGAAGGCAAGGTGGTTCAAAGCCCTTGACTGACTTAAGAAGGAAACTTAAGACTGTCACAAGGAAAAAAATGGCATTTTAATAAATGGAGAGCTTGCCTACATAGAAAAAATAGAAAAGTTTTCAAAACATATTAATTCAAATGTTGGCAGGACCTTCAAAAACTTAAAGCAAAAATTTGAAAATGTTTTTTAAAGAGCCCTCTAACCTATAAAAATTTATTTATATTTATCAAAGTCTGGAAGCAGGGAATAGACAGGATTGCTTGATGATGAAAGTGCAAAATGTGCACTAAAACAGGGTTTGAGAGAAGCTTAGTGAATTCTTTGTATTTGACAAAGGCCAGAAAGACCTCACAGAATGGAAAGAAGGAAAAGGTGGCAGATAAGCTTCAGTGTAAAGTAATATTCCAGGGAGAAATAGCCTCATACAACTGAATTCAACCATCAGTTACAA